GGATATTTAACATCACGTCTTGTATGGGATTAAAGTGATTTCCGTCGAACAGTGTTGCTAATCTATGTTCCCCTTTTTGTAAATACGGGCTCTGGAGGCAAGCATACATCTGATAATTTTTATTTATAAATTTGTACACGTAAAGTTGCTTGCAAAAATACTTTTTTAACGATGAATTTCAAATCTCTAAGTTAGAATCAAATTTACTTCTAAGAACTTCTGCTAATGTTTATGTCATGTAGAAGACAAGTAATGTGTACTAGATTTGGATAAAATATTTTCAAATTTTGTCACACCTTGACCATATACGGTGCGGCATCTGATAAAATATTTAAAAAATTTCACTTTTTATTTATTTTGGCAAAAAAGCAGAAAGCACCTAATGAAAGGGCTCTTAGTCATATTATTGGTTTTTTCCATTGGTTTTGCAAATAATAAATAAAATTTTACTGGTTCATCCTCTTTTAAGGCGCTGATTATAAGATCCACCAGAATATATCAACTACTTTCATCGACAACTCCGTTAAAGTTGTTATGGCTTAAGGCTTATCCTCGAAAATTGTAACAGTAAAATTCAGAGAGATATCTATTTCAAAAATATCTTTCTTTACGAAAACAAAATCCATTCACGAAGAATATTCTAAACGTCATCTTGTACTAGAGGTTAGCTTTATACCTACCTTATACAACCCCTATTGTGTAAAGTCTTGGGTCTATACAATAAAAGAGCGGGCGGCCTTCTATTCAGTGCGGTTTTGAAATAATGTTGAATAAAAACATTCATGAAATTAAAATGAAAGGATTTACGTCTATTAGTAGAAGTGCGATTTATAAAATTAGTACTTGAAGCCCAAATCGCGGGAGGAATATGTGCATCAGTTTTCAAATATTTATTATTTACTATATAATTTCTAAATTGAACCACTTTCACTTCTTTAGGTAACAATGTATCTGTTTTGACAACTAAATAGGTAATTAGACAAAATAATGAGTATTATTAATTTCAAAACAGGAGTTTAAAGAATTAGAAGGAGGTAGCCCGGGCCCAGTTAAATGGTCAAGCTTATTCCAGTGGAAGCAATAAGGAGGATTATTTTTCGTTTTGGCACAGCTGACATGCTCTCTCTAGCACTACAACCCATGAAACTGTGGTAAAAAGCATGCTTTATTTATACGGTTGTGAAACACGACGATTAACAGAGACATCGAAGAAAGATATCTCGTCGAACTTAATGCAATAAAGTATGAGAATAGAAGGTACAGTCATGGATGGCATACAACGAAAGCAGCTCAAATGGGTACAGGTCCAATAAATGAAAGACAGTAGACTCCTAAAACAAGTACCTGTATGAACACCTACCGGAATCCAGAAGAGAGGATTACCTTAGAAAACACGGATGGAAGGAATAAGAAACTTAATGAGCTCAAAAGAACTAAAGAACAATGGAACAACCGAATTGAATGAAAAATGGACGTCGGAAGACATTTTATAGGGATTATATCATATTATAGGTACATTTTTTGGACTAAAAATAAATTTGAAGAAAACCAAGTTCATGGTATTTACAAAAGCACAAAGCATCAAAGTTAAGCTAGTACTAGATAATACAGAAATTGAACAAATATCTTTGTACAAATACCTTGGAGCATGGATCACAGAAGATACTGATTAGACAAAAGAAATAAGATGCCGCATTGGAATTGCACGGTCAACTTTTAATAGAATGAGAAAACTTTTTTGTAATCGCGATATCAATATATCGCTCCGGATAAGAATGCTTTGATGTTATATTTTCTTTACCCTTATATATGGGATTGAAGCTTGGTCACTTAAAAAATCCAACATTAAAAACCTAGAAGCATTCGAAATGTGGTGTTACCGACGTATTTTGAAAATATCATGGATGGATCGCAAAACAAACGAACAAGTTCTCGAACAACTAGGAAAACAATTAAATTCCATAAAAATCAAGAAATTGCAATACTTGGGGCACATCATGATAGGTGAAAAATACAAACTACTAAGGAATATATGTAGGGTAAAATCAAAGGCAGAAGAAGCGTAGGAAGACGTAAAATCTCGTGGTTACGCAATCTCCGTGAATGGTTTGGATGCAGTTCAATTGAACTATTCAGGCGCGTAACCAACAAAATTATAATTGCCAGAATGATTAGAAATCTCCGATAGGAGTGGATCTTGAAGAAGAAGAATAAGTTTATTATTATTATATCATATATATGTATATAATATATGATATACACGATATTGAAAGAGGTTACAAAATAGACAATTTTGCAAAAACCGGTTTTTTTGGCCGGTTATAACCGCCAGGTTAAACCGCAAGCAAAAAAACCGGTATAACCGATAATTGGTGTTTTTTCAAAAACTGCCATCCCTAATCCAAATTGTAAAATCCCAATTGAAAGACGAAGTTTTTTGAGTTTTACATAATTCATTTTTAATATGCAAAATCAATCGTGTTTATCTTAAATATGTGTTATCATTGTTTGAAACGATCAAATCGTTTCAAACAATGATAAATTTGCAACATATACACTTTACATTTATTAGGCTCTCTACTTATAACATTGGATTTTTTGTAACGTCGGTGTTCTTGTAACATTGGCATTCCAATTAGCCACCCAATGTAGTGTACTACATCCGCCAACTCTAGCTCGAAGTACAGTAGCGCACCTAGAATTATTCTCTGGGGGTTTTGGTTGGGCACCGAAATTTTTTTGTGCTACCTCCACCATTTTAAATCCTTAAAATTGGTAAATAACAGTGTCGGAATAGGGTCCTGGGGGGGGGTTGACTCCCAAAACTTCCCCTGTGTGCGCCACTGTCGAAGTATGTACGTATATTGTAAATGAACAATTTAATAAACTAATTATAACCTACATAGTAATTATCCCATATTGCACTGGCGAACAGATTAAATTGTTATATATTTCCCTTTCATCTTCCTTGTCCAAGATATTAGAAAAGTTCAGTTTTTTTTTTAAATAAATTAAAAATACGCTGTCTATACCTTACCCCAAAAATTGGACTAATTATAATATTCTCGTAATTTCTAGTAGGAAAAACCGACTCATCTAATTAGTTATCTAATGTCTGTGACAGATTCTTTAATTAAATTTTCCAATTAGACAACTATTTTAATTTCATGCGACTATTCAAGTTCAAGTCTGCGGCAGGTATCTATTTAATATTCTGCTGATAAATTCGCAATTGAAAACTTAAAATGATCACGTACTGAGAAATTACTCCGTCGATTTGTTCAGCCACAACTGAATTCATCGCTGACAGACTATTCGTCAAAATGTGTCATTAGCGTGTCGCCTTACTATCAAGTACGATTTGAATTGAGCAGAAAAGATTAGCTTTAAGATGTTAAAGATACCATGATGTCAGTTTTAAAATACCGTTATATCTATTATTCGATGTATCGAAGTATATGATAGAGAGGAGTTGGCTGGAATTCGTTACATATAATCAAAATATTGTATTCATTTATGTAACGATCCAAAGAATCTATATTTTCTAATTTTTACTAAATTCAGAAACTATTAATACATTTATGTGCTACCTGTACAACGCATCTTCATTTCAAATAATTAGATATTAAATAAAATTTAATATTAAATACTAAATTCTTCTTCTTTCAGTGCCCTGTCCGATTATCGAACGTTGGCGATCATATTGGCAATAATAACCTTATAACGAGTTAACGATAACTGGATAATCCCAGTTATCGTTAAAGTTTGTACCCAAGTAGGTAATATTGTGGACTCTTTCTAACTCTATTCCATACGCTCTGATGTTCGTTGGTTGTAACTCCGTTTTGCTGACAACCATAAATTTTGTCTTAGCCCATATTTATCACATGCTTCGGTTACCCTATTTATAAGTCGTTGCAGATCTTCTTCCTTGGAGGCAATAAGTACCGTGGTTGAAACTATCTACCATCCATCAATTAATAGAGTACCGGCATGTAAGTAATGTTTTATTTATTTGCTCATTTATTAATTTATTACAGTCTAATAGACTATTTTATAACAATTTGTGGGTCTTACCTTGTCTGTTAAAACTTTTTATACCTTTTTATTACTTTTTGTTTATTTTGAAAAACCACAGACATGTAATATTGGCATAATTATTGTAATTTTATAACATCTACTTTGTTTATCTTTATTAGACAATACCCTAAGATGGGTTTATTATTATTTCAGCATTTATTTAACTTTTTATCGAGATCTGAAGATGCTTTGCATATTGTAAAAAGCGAAACTGGTCGCCTGAATAGTTAAATTAAATTGATTGTAAGTCTTATTTATTATTTTTTTACCTATCTATTTAATAAATATATTTCCAAGAAATAGAACACACTACGCCTATGTACCTATAGAATGTTATAGGTATAGAACGAATAAACTAAAATATCATACTTCTCTCATTCTCATTCTTTCTAAGAACGTAAATATATATAGACCAGCAAAATATTGATAAGTATCACTATACTCTCTTGAATCGCACCAATTTATATTATTATGGGGGCGAATGTTATGGGATTATATTACTTTTTTACTTATTTACATGAACGAAGTATATACAATAAAAATGACCCCGTTAAGAATTTACTGCTAACATTTAACATGGTTGCCGTTACCGTTTAGTTCAATTTATAGATTAGTCTCGTTTAATTGAAAATTGCCCGACTATAGTTTAAGAAATGGTTTTTACCAGTGGACTCTACGTGTGGACGATAATTACTAAAACGATCGGCAATTTTAACGAAATCCACTTATTTTGTGAAAGAATAGTCTTTTGTTTGCAACAATCTCTTAACAACCGTCTAATTGTTCTGTGGCGGGTCTGGGTTTTGGTAAGCCTAATTTTAGCTAACTATACGGGGAGAATCAAAACTAACAAAAATCTGTTAATATTTTAACAATGTTTATATACTGCAACACTCGCAATAAAATCTGACATTACTTACCGGTGCAAATAAATTTTCTGCCATTGATTCTCGTCGCAAAATAATAGTATAAAGAACCAATAACAGTATTGCAAATTGCCACTGCAATGACTAATCTAAAAAAGTGAATATACATTAGTACTTTTTGAAACTAATAATGAATATACATATTTTTGCATTTACGAGATATGAATGGGAATGATCTGCAAATCATTATAAGTCCCTTAATAGGACACTGTTGCTTCAAGGCGCAGACGAACAAAATCAGATTGACATAAAGTGCGAGTTACAGATTCGTTCAGGCTAAATATATTTGAACCTTATCAACTCAAGACCTACTACTTCGTATAAGTGTTACCTTAGGCCATAATGTCTTTCTTTTGGCTAGGCTGAAAGAACAACTTTAACCTTGTAACCCTTTGTAGATTTATCTGTATAACATATAAATAAGTATCACAGCTGGGCAGTGGATAAGTCTGTCAAATAAAAGATGGAAAAAGCTCAGTTCATTGGCAACACGGTTACACAAATACCGATTCTAAAATTTTAATTTAAATTTAGAAGAGGTGTCTTGAGCATCCCCAGAGCTAGACTTAAAGTTGTTTACGAGTAAAACGAAAAGATGAAAGAGAAGAACATTTTGGGCACCAACTTCACAAACATTTCTTTAAATACAAATTATTTAAGCATAGTCTGTCTAGGTCTTTCTTGAGAGGACACCAGATTCGGAACGTTAGAAGCAGCATCAGATTGTCACTTTTAATTTCAATAAGAAATAATTTCTTTAAGCAAATATTGACTTAGGAGGAGAGTACCTGAATCAGAAGGAGTTGGGGCCTAAGAGTAAGCAGTCTCAAATAACAACCTATTTTTTTTTATTTTCAAAAAATATTCACAGGGAGTTTAGACTAAAATTAAAATATTTAGCAATAATTGAATATAAACAACTTTCTCATTAATTCCTAGAATTGGAGAGCCCCTTAGGAACATCTGATCTGTATCTTGTAGATGTTTTATACAGATATATAGAAATTCATGTCAGTACCTAGTGTCTTTGGTCATAAAGCCTTTGTTTGATTTGAATGAAAAGCAGCAAGAGTACTTTCAAAACACAAAAGTTTATGTCTACTGTTAGATAATCAAACGGGGTCTGTTCCCACACAATTTTCACATTTCCTCAGTAGGTAATGATGATGGTCGTTATTGCAGATAGCGCTAGGAAGCGCACAATTTAGACAGTGAACTTCAGTAGTCAAAGAAACAGGACGTTGTGTTAACAGAACATCGAAAACTCTATAATAATTGATAATTTATATTAGAGGGACAGTTACAAGATAGATGGACAATATAAGTAAATGAAGTTGCCTTGTTAAACTTACTTGTTCAATAGCTTCGACAGAAGTGAAGTAATATTGAGATTTCTCATCTAAGAACGTGAAATTTCAATGCTCATATAGGATTAGCGCTAATTATGAATAAGGACAGAGAATCGGTTTGAATAAAAGAAACTTTTTTTGTAAAACGGCCTTCTGCTAGAAAAATACAGTAGTTGCCATATGAATAATAGCTTTAGTAAATGTATTTTTCAAGTCAGCAATTGAGTCCTTTTGAGGAGTCAATAATATTAGCGATCAAAATATGATATTCATAAATGGGGCACATGTTACATGAAACGAAAATTTCACAAATGAAACGTCCCGCTGAGTTGTTGGCTAAGCAAAAAAAAATTTTGGAAGGAATTAGTTGTAAGATACATTGAACATGCTTCAATCTACAGATAAACCTGTTGGGTCGAGTAGAAAAGTGGTGTAGCACCCACTCATACTGAACCTAATTTAACCTTTAAAGAAATATGTAACTGTGAATATTGTCACATTTTCCCTATAATATTGTCTCGGTTAATTGAAATTTCTAGATAATAATCATGCCATTCTTTAATATTTAAAACAAAACCTTAAAATTATTTTTTAATAATATTTGATTCTATATGAGATAATATTCTATATTAGAAATTTTATAAAATCCATCATGCTGCAATAAAGTTTCCAAATAATCATTCCATCTATTTCTTGTAGCTAAAATGCGGCAACTATAAATCTGCGCATTACACTTTAAAATATTAATTAGTCAGAGACCGGCATTTATTAATAATAAATAAACCCTTTCCTCGAGGCCTTTTTCCTTACCCGCGCAGTAAACTTTAGCAAAGGAAAATTTTGTATGAACTCACATAAACAAAACGTCTCCAGAATCCAGTTTCGAATTATAAGTTTGAACTTGGCAAGTAAGTTTATCAACCTCCACATCTACTAGAAATTGAACTTGTTCATTAAAATTGCTGGCAACTTCCATCAGACTTTTCTGCAAGTCTAAGTTGGTGCAGCTGGACGGAATGCAAAATGCGAAAGGAATCACGTTACGAGGATTCCTCGACGGATCTTTGAGATAATCCTAAAAAATTAAAATATGACAATTGTACAAAAAGAAAGTTTCAAAATCTGTTAATCATAAAATTTTAAAAGGTTATGGATCATAGTATAGAAACTAGCGTTTCACAAGATTGTACAAATCTTAGTCGAATAAAAGGATAATACTTTAAGAAACGAATAAAGTTTAGACGAGAGTGACAGAAACACGCGATAGTTATCAAAAATCCGTAAAATATTGACTATCGACTGCACACTGACCCAATTGTTACTTGGGCCTCATTTCTACAACAAAATGACATAAAATTTCCTAAATTTAGCCATACAGCGTACACTCTCTCTAAAGGAAAAATTCACTCATCCCAGATACCTACGGTATCAAAAGGATTGAGATCAGTGTTATCGAGACCGAGTTGACTTGGTACGTCGGAGTATCTCCCCAAAAAATTTTGGTACAAATCTAGATGTTGAGAGCAGTACTGCTTTCTCATGGTCTCCTAAATATGTTCATTCAGACCCAGCTGTTTTATATTTTCTAAGAGGCTCTTTGGAATAAGTTCACAAGTAGAAAGGATAATAGGTATCGTCTGAGTACTTTCCATTGTCCATTGTCCCCATATTTTTATTTTCAGATTTCTGTATTTGGCGACATTTTCAATATTGTTGAGTATCGCTACATCTATTAGTGTTGTCTGTCTAGTAAGTTTATTAACTAGTATGAGATCCTATCTATTATATGCGACTGGTTGGTCTGCGAACACAGTAAAGTTTCAGTAAGTCTGTAATGTTGGTCATTTTCAAGCATTCTTTTAGGGATATATGTATTGATAATAAGAACAATGGTAGGTTTACAGAAGTCTTAGTTTGCTAGCTAGTTCTTAGTGAAAAATCTTTTCTACTGAGTCACGGCGTTCTTTATAATGAATTCTGACAAATGCCTGGCAGCCCTCGTCATATGTTGGATGATTTCTTTGGTCTAAAATCCTTATTTGTCGTTTTGGACCTGATTGTCTTTGACAATATATTTCAGTTAATTTTTAGTTAATTTTAATTTTTACCTGATCCTGAATGGCAAGTAGGGTATCTTCTGATGTCGCCCATACAGAGGCTGATTAATCTAGGTGCGCATTTTTTGCATAGAAAGGTGGTTTATGCGCATATCTTTTTCCTTCAGTTTAAGCGACGTTGTGTCATCTACTGCGCAAATTTCTTAATTTTACCTATATAACTCACACTCTCCCAAAGGGGAAAATTCACTCAAACCATATACCTACGCTATCAAACGGATTGAGCTTTGGTGGGACTAATGTTATCGAGCCATAGGTGACTTGGTATGTTGGAGTATCTCCTAACAATTTTCGTACATCTGAATGTCGCAAGGCCTCATACAACTTTCTGCATGGCATCATAGAAATGTTCATTTATACCAAATGTTTCATGTAAATTTAGATTTTGGGAATAACACTAATAGTAAACAGAATACTAAAATGAGAAATAATGAAGACGCAAGGCCCTCAGTCTCCGACAGTCCCTTGAAACTAGGCTATGGTAGCAGTCACAGAGGTAGAGGAACAGAGGGTGCTAATATTCTCCGGAGTGGACCAGGCCACGATACTATGAATAACAAGATAGGATCTTCCCGTAGCTCAAAATCGGTCGGGTTCGCGCATGCCGTCATTGGAGACTAGAATTTGAATTCTTGTTAAAGTTAAATGAGATTTGTATGCATTCTGTGATGAAATTACTAGACGAAAATAAGTTAAGAGGTTCAATAATTACAATAATCGTACACATAAGGATATCTCCAAACTATTTATTAAAGATTATTTATTGATATATACAAAAACTGACATTTCGAACGTGCAAGTCTCAAAAACATGCGCAATATCTTATCTTATAGTCATAGTATCATGCATTCAAACTAAACGAACGTGTAAGTCTCCAATGACGTCACAAAAACATGCGCAATATCTTATGTTATAGTCATAGTATCATGGACCAGGCTACCTATACAAACGACAGCGGCAAAGAATATGGTTTATGGCAACATACAACACCAGAACATTGATGGAGGAGGAAAAACTTGAGGAAAACGAGCTGAAGCATATAAAATGGGATATACTTGGATTATCTGAAGTACGGCGAAAAGGCGAAGAAAAATGGTACTTTCGTCAGGAAATCTATTTCACTATAGAGGAGAATCTTCTAATGGTGGCGTGGATTTAGGATAAATAAAAAACATACAAAAAATATACTTACAATTAAAAACATAAGTGAAAGAGTTATTTATCTTATCTACAAAGTAAATGAAAAATTTGATTAAAAATCATACATATGATTCGGAGTTTGTACTTGGACCTCACGGATATGGCGACAGAAACGAAAGGGGTCAAACTCTTATAGAATTTTTTCTGCAACATAGACTATATGTCATGAACACCTACTCCAAAAAAGGCCCCCAAAGAAAGTGGCCTTGGCAATCACCAAATGAATTGAACAATAACGAAATTGACTTTATCTTTACTAACAAACAAGGCGCTGTTCAAGACGTAACTGTATTAAATTCATTTTCAATCGGAAGTAACCATAGAATGGTTAGAGCGAAGGTAGTCTTGAACGTAAAGAAGGAACGAAGAAATAAGATAACAAGGACTAAAAATGTTACGTTCACTTTGATTACTAACACAATGGCATACCAGGAAGAAATAGATAGAAACCTTAAGAATGACGTGCGAGATGAAACCGAACTTAACAAAAAGGTAGTGGACGCTCTAAGGAAGGCACAGAAGAACTGTCAATTTAAGCAAACAAGGAAAAATCAAAATCTTACAGAAGGAACGTGGAAACTAATACGAAAAAGAAGGGAAATAAAACATAAACACACAGTGAACATCGCAGAGCTGAGGAATTTAAATAAAACCATTTTAAAAGCTGTTAGGAAAGACATAAGGGATTTTAACACTAAAGAAACAACTAATACCATAGAACATAATAAAAGCCTTAAAGTTCTAAAACGAAAGTTTAAAACAGGAACCAGGAACATTTATATGCTAAAAAAATAGATAAGGATATGCTGTATATGAAGAACAAGAAGTTATGAAAATTATCAAAAAGTACTATAAAACATTATATCGTCGAGATGCTCACATTCCAGAGGTGGAAATCCCAGCCATACAAAATCAAGGATCAGACGAACTTCCAGATATAACCGAAGAGGAAATCGAATTAGCGTTGAAAGGTATGAAGAACAGCAAATCACCTGTAGAAGATGGCATTGTAAGTGAAATGCTAAAATTAGGAGACGAATGCGTCATAAAAGCTTTAAAAACCCTTTATAATTCCTGCCTCTTTGAGGGAGTTACACCAGAAAAATCAAATACTCCCATTATGATAATATTGCACAAAAAAGGAGATGTAACAGAAATTGGAAACTAGAGACCTATCAGCTTGTTATCTCATTTATATAAGTTCTTTATGAGAATAATTACCAACAGACTGGAACAGACTGGAAGCTAAGCTGGATTTTCACCAACCATTAGAGCAGGTCGGATTTAGGAGTGGCTTTGGAACGACTGACCACCTACAAGTAATAATATCCGTAATAGAGAAAGTTATAGAATACAACCAGTCCTTGATATTAATATTTGTAGCCTTTGAGAAAGCATTTGACCCAGTCCAGCATAGTTCCATATTAAGAGCTCTCACAGAGTGCAGTATTGATCATAGGTACACAACTCTTCTTCGGAATTTATATAATAGCGCAACAGCTGCAGTTAGAATGTATTATCGCAACACAAATACATTTTCCTTCGAGAAGGGTATTAGACAAGGAGATACTACCTCTCCTAAGCTATTCACCACTTTGTTGCAGAGTGCTATAAAAAACAATAATTGGGAGAATATTGGAGTCAACATAAATGAAGAATTTCTGAACAACTTGAGATTTGCAGATGACATAGTCCTAATTGCAGACCGGGTAGATAATGCCTGCCAGCTTCCTCAAGTCCTTCGCAGCTCGTGTACACGAGTTGGACTTAAAATTAATTTCTCCAAAACACAATATATGACCAACCTTGTACTGGCGAAAAACATCTCAACTAACGGCACGCTAATTGAACAGGTGTATAGCTACAAATATCTGGGCCACGAAATTAAATTGGGAAGATATAATTAAACAACGGAGCTAAACAGGAGAATAGGACTGGCATGGGCGGCTTGTGGAAAACTGAGAGAAGTCTTTAGATCAAATATTCCCGTGTACTTAAAAAGGAAGGTCTTTGATTAATGTTTACTCCCAGTTCTAACGTATGGAGCAGAAACATTGACCCCTACCAAAAAAGTAATTAATAAAATACAAGTGGTACAGAGAGCGATGGAGAGGTCAATGCTGAATATATCCCTCAGAGACAGAGTATCAAGTACAATAATTAGGAGAAAAATTGGTGCTACGGACGCAGTTCAAAGGATTATAACATTAAAATAGAACTGGGCGGGGCATGTTGCCAGATTAAAAGATGGAAGGTGGACGAAGAAAATTTTGAAATGGAGACCTCGAGACGATGCTTATCGTAATCACGTGACAAAATAGGTAATGTTGTAACATTTTTTTATTATGAAAATATTAATTATTTTTAATTTCTTTTACCCCCGTGCGATACGCCTATGATTAGGAATTCCCGTGTTTACGATAAGAAAATAATATTGGATCTACTAAATTATAATGGACTTCCCTAATTGCTAAAGGTAGTTAATCCTTTCCGTCTTAATTTACAGTATGAAAAGATCTAATGCTTTTGGGTATGCAGGTTCTTTTACATAAATTGATAATTTTCGCCGAAGGCCCGTTTGTTTGACAATAACTTAATACCAAGTATTGTCTGCTTCTCATGTCCAATTGTTAGTACCGGTAACTCAAAACTTTCGGAATTTTTACTTCCTCAGAATTACCTACAACTGTCCGATGATTTTAAGTGGGAGATATACCTTCTTCTTCTTTTTTCTTGGATAGTTGGTGAAATTTTTAGTGGAACCAACTTACTTCTCGGTAGGCTCTCGTTGAGCACAGGTCGATTATCTCGTGAGATTTCTCGGTGGCCTCTCGTTAAGTGTGGTCGCTTGCCTGAAATTATCGTCTCTGTGAATTATTTTCTAAGTGTGTATACACTCTATATTTCAGTTTTCTTGTCTTAGACTATATTAAGTTATATATAATTCTACACTACCTTTAATGGTACCTAATTAAATTCAGTGTTGAATACCAGTACAGTATATTAAATTCAGTGAATTAAGCTGCCGTCATCAGGAATTATGTAAGTTACCATAATCTTTATCTGCAAATTATCTGGGCGAGTAATATGGTATGGTATCATACCACCTGCCATTATCTGGACGTATCACCCATCATTCATCCATATCTTCATCTGTAGATTGCCGATTTTTGTATTTAATTTAAAGAACAATTCAAGAACTTTGCATAAATTATAACTATGAACATCTCAGTTTAGCATGAATTAATAGTGCGAGATAGTAACCCACCTAGTCAAGTGCGGTTTGGCTAGTTAATGTTTTCAACTCTGTAACCTGTTAAGAAAGAGTTAAGAAATTTTTACTATCTTTTGTATTTGCTATAATTTTTGCTCATTATCTTTCCTATAATATCTCGAGATACGCCAACCTATATTTGTATATGATTGCCTTATATATCTTGGTAAAGGTATTTTTTTATTATATTATTGCTTAATTTTATACATATATAACAGCATTTCATAGTTGGGTATTTTTATTACTTGTGTTGCATTTAGCAGCATCATAATTTTGTGTTTAATATATTGTTAATGTTTTATGCATGTATTTTATTTGTCGGATCCTAACAAGTTCCCTGATAAAATAGTAGCTCTAAATATTTGCTTAGTATATTAATTTATCACTACATCTTTGACCAGTAGAAAAATCAGGCTGATTCAGTTTCGTAGGTAAGTAAGTGTAATACCTAATATATTTATTATTTGTTTATATATTTTGTTGACCACATTTATTTGATAATTAACTGTTGGTATCTTTCCTTGGGTTTGATCTCTGATCTCTGAAGGATATTTTTCCTTATCTCTTTTCTTTTCTAAGGTTTCTTAATTTTCTCCTTAACCCCAAAAATTGAGTGGCGCCCTGTTTCTATCTTCTCTTATCTTTGGTAATTTTACCCATCTATCTTTTTGTTTATTTCTATATCTTTTCTAATATCTCTTATCCTATCTTTACTTATTTCGTCCGTTGGACCCAATCCCGGTCCCAACAGCTAGTTTCGAACCCACGACTCGATCTCCACCAACCATCTGGCTGCCGTCTGCTGTGTCTCCATTGGTTATCTTTCTAGCACCATCCAAAAAAGCATCCACTTAGACATCACCCTAAAAAATTGTTAAATCGACGGCGAAAAATCGGTTGGTTTCCATTTTGTTAGAGATTAAAAATTAAAGGAAAAATAACGTTATTTGATTTTTCTAATTCCAAAACAAATTCTACGAAAACATATAGTTAATATTAAAATTACTTACATCAATTTTAGTCCACATCGTTAAATTAGAATGGCGTATATTTGTATCATTTTCAGACTTCAGATTTCTAGATAAAGGTGGCTTCAAAGTAAATCTCACCAAACAATATTTTCCGTAAAACTGATCCTCAGGATGTGGAGCCTTTACTTTGATACATTCGTCGAAGTTTCCGAAATCGTAATTTGTACCATCAAGAAAGCCACTGGGAAATTTTGTGGTTGAATCTAACACTAAAATAAGAAATAGAAGTATTAGAAGAAGTTTAGAAGTTAGAAGTTATAAAGTGTTATGAAGTCATAAACTCTTCAACAACTTTGGCGGTTAAACACTTTTTTAATACAATTCTTAGATATTCTTTTTTTGTAAACGATTTCCAGAGTGAAATTCGAAAAATCAATTTTTAGCTAAAAATGTATTTTTCATTACACTCAACTGTGAATTTGTCCCTAATTTTTAACATATACATGCCACAAGGAAACAATTCTACAACCTTTCTTATTTCTTTTAATTTTGGGCGAGATCTACAAATACTTTTCTCGGCTTTATACTTCTGAGATGAGAATAGTGCTACATTTAGTATTTTGTGATGTAATCGGATCTTCTAAAGCTCTGGAGGGATTAGGAAATGCCGAAAGGTCTTAATTGCAATGAAAGAAAAAATTCAAATCTGTAACCTCCACGTGATAGAAAATGGGCAACATCTATCTATAGATGGCCAATGAAAATAGTGACCGAGTGATTGGCGGTATAAGCAATCTCTTACTGACCAACGGCTACGGGCGGATGAGTTGGTAAGTGATAGGGCACTCTTTTGTCCTGGAGTTGAGAAGTCGACTCCAAATGCGGATTAACCAAAGTGTTCAACGGCAAAAGGATGTGGAAGGCAACGAGAAACTACAACATTAAAGATCTTTAAATAGATATCTTTTGTCAATTATTATGGCTATTATAACTGACAATTTCACAACTAGTGATCATGTACAACGGATACCAAGATCCGGCAGGGGAGGCAACTCTCAGTCGGGCTCTCCCAGGTCGCCAACATGTGAAAACCCCGCGTCAGGGACAAAAATATAAACGAACTGCAGATAGGTACCTGGAATGTGAAGTCTATATATGAAGCAGGGAAGGTCCACATTGTAATACATAAGGGGAGGCGACTTAAAGTCAATATGATGGGACTAAGCGAGACCAGATGGCCTAGATCTGGCGAAATCGAAGTCGATGGTGCCAAAATATACTACTCAGGAAACAAAGATATTCACCACTATAATGGCCTAGCGATAGTGGTTCATCGCAGTTTTTGCCAGGCTGTAACTTGTTTTGTTCCTATATCGGATAGAGTGTTAATGACCACAGCCCAAACAGTGCATAGAACTCTTAATATCATACAGTTGTACTCCCCCACCGCAGATAAAGATGAAAATTAAATAGAAGAGTTCTACAATGACATTAAAAAAGCACTAGACAGCACCAATAAGAGCATATATTGAGATATAACAATATTAATGAGGGATTTTAATGTCAAATTAGGAAAAGGTAAATTCCAAGGTATTATTGGTGAATTCGGACTAGGAATAAGGAACGAAAGAGGAGAAAGACTGACAGAATTCTGTCAGGAGTTTGAAATGATAGCGACAAATACATTCTTTTAATTACCACCACGTAGATTATATACAAGATGGATAGCAAAGAAAAAATTATCAGAAACCAGATAGATTATATTCTTATCAATAAAAGATACCGTAACTCCATCAAATCTACAAAGACATATTCAGGAACAGATGTGTCATCAGACCACAATCCAGTAATAATAAAATTCAAAATCCACTTAAAGAAAATAAAAAAATCAGGAAAAGACACAACAAATAAGCACTTTGCTAAAATACCCGAATATAAAAGGAGAACTAACATTGAAATTTAAAGATTAGTTAAGGAAAACAATAATCAATGATAACGAAGATTCCAACGAAAAATGGAAAACATTTAAGAACACATTAATGATGCCAATTAAAGATACGCTGAGTAGTCACAAAATCGATGAAGCTAAGACTCCATGGATGACAGATGAGATCCGGCAACTAAAGAAGATCATACAAAAAACAAAAATGTAAACGAATACGAAGCCACACACAAGGAGATCAGGATAAAAATACGGGCAGCTAAAGAGAAGTGTATAAGTTAAGATAATGTGAGAAATGTTTAAAGATAAAAGAACTCCAGAGAAATCATGATAGTTTTGAATTGCACAAAAAAAATTAAAAAATTAGCAGGTATAAGACGGTAAAACAATAGTAACACCCTAGTTCATACGAATGGTAAAATAATATCTGATATGAAAGGTAAAACTAAACAGATGGGGAGAATACGTCCAAGAATTGTTTGAGAGCGACAGGACACTACAAGATAGCATAAAAGATTGCGAGAAACATGATATAGGTCCAAATATAACAAAGGATGAAATAATGCATGCAATAAATCTGGCAAAATCTAATACAACTGCGCGGCCTGACACAATTTCAACTGCAATAATTAAATTAATATCTGAAAATCCGATCAATGTAAAAAAAACATAAAAAAGTCAATGAGCGAACGGAATCTATCAACGGAAGATTGCCACGATAGAAGAGGATGGAAGTTAGGTGTCGGACAACGGAGAAGGACGTACTAAACCGGCATATATATATATATATATATATATATATATATATATATATATATATATATATATATATATATAAATCAGATCAATGTATTAATAGACTTATATAATACTATATATAATACGGGTATTATTTCGAGAGATTGGCTCAAAAGGGAATGTAATGAACACCGTATAATTAGTCTAATGAGTCACATACTAAAAATTATCTATTTAAGATGAGGCGACTAAGACGTCACTGAAACCCAATTTGAATTTAGGAATACGATGGGTATAAGGCTATTCCACCATAGGCTATTCCACGAGTATACGACTGTTTTGGTTTACTGCGACAACAAATATTTTACTGTGCAGGTAGAAGTATGAAGGTCAATTGGTCTAATCATTATTCCAATAAAAAGGGTCTACTTAAGTCTACTAGTATGACATCTAAAATAAAATTATTTTAGTTACAATCTACAAATAAATACAATGACGTCTATGAAGCCAAATGTGTTCATCAGACATTTGGGTCGGCTTTCCGTGAAATGTAAACACCAAATAGGCGTGCCGGGTTTCTTTGATATAACACATTTTATTGCTTTATGAGGTATTACAACTGTAATAAAAAGAAACATACTATTTTTAATATAATTGAAAAGAAATTGGCAGAACGATGGTTCACAAACCAGAAAAAGGATCTAATATTTCACTTTGTTAGTTTTAAATATTTGTTTGCTTTGAGCTTATGTTCTCTTAAAAGTTCCGAAAGTAACATACCGGCTCTTTATAGTTAAAGTACCGAGTCGTTACAGGTATTAAAAAGTAACGAAAATTTATATAGTTTCATATATGGCCGACTGATTATGGCTGTGAATCTGATCGTTGATGACAGTTTTAGAA